GTGTGAGTAAGGAGATTTGGCAATTAGCTCCAATAATGCTTCCGACCGGTGACTCTTGGCTTTCTAGTAGTCCAACAGATAATTATGATACTTTTATAGCAACAAATCAGGGGTCACATGATCACTCTATGCTGTTTCATTTTTTGGGATGGAGAGTATGGAAGCAAAGGAATGAGGTAATTTTTAATAATAAGTGTTGGCCTATTCCATTGATAATCAATAGAGCTATTCAGGATTATAAATTGTGGCTTGAAGCTTTAGAATTAAAACAGCAAGATTTATCCCAGAGTAGCATATGAATTGTGGGATAGCTTTATCCCAGAGTAGCAAGATTTATCCCAGAGTAGCTTTAGAATTGTGGTTAGGCAACATTCTAAAGTTATACCAAGAAGTTTAGGCCAGATTATGGAGCAGGTTGACCATTGTTGTTGTTTAGTGGATGCTTCTTGGATCTCACAACATCATAATATGGGCATAGGATGGAGTCTATTTGACCGTAATTTAAAGCAGCTGAATTAGTGGTGCAAGATCTTTACCACCGACGCAATCCCCTACTCATGCAGAAGTGGAAGCTTTAAGAATAGCGGTTGTGGAGTTGTATAAGCTAGGCTATCGAGAGGTGACTTTCTGTGGAGATTTGCAACAACTTTATGGATTATTGCAACAGTCAAGTTTGGATCTTGAAACTTCTCAAATGAAACATCTCTCTTATATAATACAACTTCAAGATATTATGCGGATAGCAAAGTTTTGTAACTTCACATTTCTTTGGATTTCACGTGAAGCTAATGATCATGTTGATCATTTGGCTAAGCAAGGTAGAATCCATTCTCAAAGATATGTTGTAAAATGGACGATGTAATGGTTTTCTTATAAATAAAGCAATTGGACGACAAAAAAAAACTTTATACTAAAAGATTTATTATTTTAAAGAATTTAAAAAAAAAAATCAAATTAAAACCAATCACGCACTGGGCCAGCGAATTGCTAAATGCAGATGGGCAAAATTCCTTGAAACCAAAGAAAAACTTATGTGCAAAAGTTTGACCAATTAAACTAGGAATTTCAAAGTTGAGGCTTTAAAGTGTAAAATGAGTATAATTGGGGGCCCTACGGCCCCTCGCATTGAGGCATTATTTAAGCAAAAAATTGCAGTCTGTCAAAGAGTTTATAAGACAAGTCTTGAATAAATGGCCAACGGAAACGCCGTGTACATGAGCTTCAACAGGTGCGAGGACACCATACGTCACTCCTTCCTCAGCCATCTCTTTGCGGATTTTCGCCGCAGAAGCATATCTGCCGAAGATCCGGCAAGTGATCATAATTGCGTTTGCGAGGAGTTGGAAGCCGCGATAGCGCAGTCTAAGGTTGTCCTGGTTATATTATCGGAGCAATATGCTTCCACCAAGTGGTGTTTGGATGAACTAGTGAAGATTTTGGAGTGCCGCCCGGTGGTGGTGGTTCCGGTTTTCTACGGGCTCACGAAATCAGCTTTGAGGAAACAATGCTTGARATTGAAAAAGATGTATCCTCAGGGTCGTGCAGCGGATTGGCGTCGCGCTCTTTTGGAAATCGCAGACTTACCAGGCCATGCATCATCTCTTGATCGAAGGTAATTTTTTAAACCTGTTTTTTTGTGTTTTTCTTTTGCTCTCGGGTCGATTTTTAATAATTAAAAAGGAAGGAAAATCATTTGTTATAAACACACACTCATAAGTCACAACTACCTTTTTGGTTATATAGTTCTGTTTTGATTTAATTTCATATCGGTTTTGGATTGCCTTGTAAAAAAATAGCCATTTTGATACAAATTATATA